GTACTCTGCTGTTGGGAGTAAGAGACCTCTCTGATGTTGACGTGGTGCTGGGTCCTCTCCTTATTTCTACTTGCCAAAGTGCAGGTAAAGGGGCATTCAAATACTTTTTTAATGTGTCATTGCTGCATAATGAATTGCTGTAGTGGCACAGGGATCATGATTCGGCATCACAAACGGGAAGGGAGCACCATGTGGCTGATTAACATATGAACCACACTCATGGACCAACTTGAATTAGAATATGTTTGGAAAAAAACTTGACCATCAAGTGTGCTAAGTAACTGCTAAGCATTCTTAACCATAGCTGGAATCATACCCCCTATAAAATCACATGAATTCTTAGGCCAGATTTTTCAAAAGAGTCCAGCACCCTGCTGTACTGGTTGAGAACAGTGAATTTTTCCTGGGTTAGCATATATCAAGTATCTGGTCTATTATTTACTTGACTGAGTGGGGACTTTGGATGTTGATGTCTTTCAGAAATTTGGCCCTGAATTTTGTTCTATCATGCCAAGACTTATAAGTCAAAACAAAAAGCTCAGTATTTAACATCCATTTCTTCATTTAATTTCTGTTTACTTGGCATGGTGAGGCTATTATTCACGAACATTTTTTGGCTAGGAAGCCTTTAGTGGACTAGCATTCCAAACTGATATAAATTCAAACCTTAAGCCTCTTACACAATGCTACACTGTAGCCTCAGTTCCTTCATCCACAACCTAACTATTTGAATTTAGCAATGTACTGCATGGTGTCAAGACTTTCTTGCTGACACATGGCTTGAGCCTTCATTGCTCATACCTCTTTAATTCCCATTGAAGCCTGGGATGAAATAAAGTTTGACAGGATGGTCTTCAAAGAAAACCGATCAATATTAAAAGAGGCATCAAGGGAAATAGATATTTAAAATGTTCCAACTCTCAAGTACTTTCATGGGTTGAATCAAAGGATTTCTGTTGTTGGGGTTTTTTTAAGAAAATAAGAAAAAATAAACCACTTTGATGACCATATAAAGTCTCACTTACTATGGTACCTAGCAGCATAAGAATTAAAATCAAGAGCGGTTGAAGAAAATAAGATATGGACTGTCTTCAATTTTTTAGTATCAATCACTTATTAAAAACACACTGCTTCCAGCGCCCAGTGTTCTCACTCGAGTCTTGGGTGGATTACATCTTCAGCATGCACAATGGTCTCAGAATATTAAGAACAGAAAGGCCATCATTACAATAAGCTAGTTGCAGCCTAGGAAAGATTTTAGAGATCGGGATCAGTTTTCTGTTTTGGACCCAGGAATAAATGCCAATCTAATAGAAACAGCAAATTGGTACAATATGTTTTCTTTTGTTAATCCTCATTAATTTTAAGAACCTCAAGAGGCAAGCTGCCACTCTTTGTACCAACAGGAATTTCTAGCTGGCCTTTGCTGATAGCCCTAAATAAAGGATTTACGTATTCTAGACCCAAAAGGAACAGAATGAAAGTCATAGTCGATAACACTCACTTAGGCAGTTTTCTAGGTCCAGTTAGCTGGATGAATGCATTTTTGTGATTATGATGTTCTTGTTCTCTAGCAGCAGAGATACTTCCAGTAGTACTCAGATACTTCAACATGAATAAATTTAAGCTAATAAATGTTGTGGGGTGAGTGGAGTGGGGGTGGGGAAATTAGAAACAAAATTAAATCAAGGCACCTGGAAAATTGTAATGGTGGAAAAGGCAGAGCTGATAGTGGTAGCAATTTGGCTGTGCTTGCAATGTGATACAACATGTAAAAAAGATACTGCAATTTGTGGCTATGTACACAGGGAGATCACGTTATAAAGCAGAAAGGTAATAGCCTCCCTCTATAGCTTTGTTACTTAAGACATTTAAAACTCATCTAGATAAACCCTAGATATAATAAACTGTAGGAACATACTGTTCGTGCAATGAAATGGTTTAGTCAACCTAATAAATCATTTCCATCTCTCATTTTGATGATTCCATGAACTCAAAAGAACCCAATCTTTCATTTTCACACAAGTAAAAAATCAAACCAATTGCCTTTCATTTTAATGAGCAGTGTAGATATTTCATAAATTTTACTAGGTTTCCTAGGATATGTCACAGTTAATGGCTGACAAGTATTTGAGAATTCAGTAATTTCTAGAACCTAACAAGAAAGACCATGCTCTTTTGAGGCATTACATTAACCATATTTACAAATTTCATACTGGAAAATTGTAATAAGGTGACAAAACACCTTGCTATCTATTACACAAGATGTGTTCAAGAGAACCACACACATTTGCATATTTGTATTGTTATGTATACAAATGATGGAAGAAGTTAAATAAGGGTAGCATATCCCAATAGGTTACATCAGTTAGTTCTTCTTTTTAGTGCAGGGAGTGAAACTGTGGTGATCTCATACATAATTTTCTAACAGTGTCTAGTAAATGCTGACTTTTTCATGGCAACCACTTTATCTGTGGTCCCAAAAGAATCCCCAAAAGTACTATAGATAACTACTTCTGTAGTATATTACATTTAGAGTCTGAACTGCATTCACCCAAGCTTTGCAGATCAGGCTGTCAAAAAGCCAACACAACATTGTCACTTTAAAGCTGCCTGGAAAATGGCACAGATATAGAATTATGCTGAAGCACAAAAATGAAAGGGTTAAGGTGATAATATGAGTCAGTGAGCATCCTCCCTCCAACTGTCCTTTCTTTCCCTTCACATTTCCCTTCCCCTCCTCACACCTGTTTGTCATTTTCCCTTTGACCTCAAATGATAAAAGCCCATGCCATCCTTACAAATTTATAATGAGTATTCAGACTCACAGTATATTAAACACTCAACCACTGGAAAATGAGGGGCACTCAGCATTCCTGAAAACCTGGCCACAGATTTTAATGGCCAAACCTATATTCAGGAACCTAAATGTAGCTCCTTTCTTAAGAATCTTGACCTCACTGTGGATACACAACAGCAGCTTTATTGAATAAAGTATCTTCTAATTTAAACATTTGTACTTTGATAATAATAAAGATTACATCAAACATTTCAGAGAAGGGAAGGTGTAACAAGGAGGTGAGAGAGGAAAGAGGTCCACCAGAATTCTGTGCCCTGAGTCATTGTGTGATTGAAGAAAATCTAAGATTTCTGTGCATCTGTAGAATATAAAATGGCTTTCACCCAACAAGGACACTCCTCCAGAGAGATAGACTGCACTTTTGAAAGAGCCACCCAGAAACCACATGAAGAATTGCTGCAGTACAAAAAGAAAATCCCCATGAATTGCACACCACTAGTTATGACATATCATCCCTCCATGGAACCTATAAGGGAAATTCTCAAACAATTGCAACCCATACTAGAAGGAGACCCAATTTTTAAAGAGATCTTCCCAGAACCACCAGTCCTAGCCTTTAAACAAGCATCAAACCTCTCCAACCTCATCATGAGAAGCAAACTTTCTATGGCTCAAAATACACTGAATGGATCCAGACCATGACAAAAAATGCAAAACCTGCTGACGTCTCCCCCCCAATAACCGCAACACACAATAGAACTATCAACATTCCTGGATCTTACACCTGCACCTCCAGAAATGGCATATATCTCATCCATTGCATCAAATGCCCTGATGGAAAATATGTAGGAGAAACCAAACAACAACTATGCACCAGAATGAACGCACACTGAAAATCTATCAGAGACAAGAATACCTAATTACTGGTGGGGGCACATTTCTCACCAGAAAACCACTCTCTCTGCAATCTCCCAGTTCTAATCCTCAAAGGAATTTACAAAACACCTTTCATAGACAAACCTACTAACTTCACTTCATCAATTTACTGGATACAAAAACTCATGGACCAAATATATACATTGGATTTATGGCACATTATAACCTGCCTGACATTCTTGCATACTGGCCTCTGGCTTCTGTTCTATTCTATCCCATCCAGGAAGAGCACAGAATAACTACAGATGCTTTCTCAGCCTGAAGAATGGTGTTTGTCCCTGAAAGCTTGCAAAGAAGAATTTTTCCAACTCCTTTAGTTGGTTTAATAAAAGATATTGGATTTACCCAAAGAACCTTGTCTGCCTCTGTAGAATGGACCTTAATTAGTGCCCAAAGAGTGTCTGTCCGATCAAAGACAAAGTACATGTCAAAAATACTTCAGCTAAAATCTGATCACTGCTGGTTATTACTACATTCCATAGTATTTTGCAAAAGAGGAGGAAAAAATTCTAACCCTGTATGCTTGTACTCTGCCTATCTGCATTCTCTCCCTACATGCTCAATAAAGTGAGCTGCAGTTATTGAAGTGCACTGTAAATCAGCTGCTGAATTGCACTTCAGTGAAAACAACAACTCAGTGGTGGGTATAAAATCCTTATAGTATTTTCCCCTTCCCTAACCCACAGTAATGTGCAGATTATTTTGTTTGCAAAATGCTTTGAGATACTTGGAAAAAATCTTGCAAAAGTTTTCTGGGGTTAATCCTGCAGCCTTTAACTGGGAAACCGTCATTGTTTTTCAGCTACCAGAGGTCTAGTCCTATTAATGTGACTTTCGAATTGAGGTTAGAAACAAAATAATTTCTGAATCATAAAGGAGCATAAACCAATCTGAATTAAATTATTTTGTCTTCAGACTCATATTTTAAAACTGAATACTTTGAACACAGACATCTAGTTGAATTTTGGGCAAAAGCTTGTGTGAACCTTGGAACACATATTTATATTGTATTAGAAATAGGGATTTTAATCCTGAAAACATGTGTCATGCTTCACCCATATAATCTGGTGAAAGACATGCATCACTGGTACAGCAAACATGACAGTCCTAGAATTTAAAATGTGTAGTTTGCCCTGAGATTCATCATGCATTTATTCCTGCAAAAGCAAAGATTTCTACTACCTGCTTGTATAATATTGTTATGGTGGGTCTATTTCCAGTCTGAATCTCAGCGATCAGACTCAGGTTTATATAGATTACTCACCTGTCTCACAACACAATTTAGGAACTTGGATAGATAATTTTATGTGATTGCCACCAGCCTGTTTATCAGAATCATCACCATCTTCTTTCTTTGTGGCTTTCACATTATTAGTTCCTTTGGGTATATCCACAAATGATAGCAGTTGAGAGGGAGGTGTGCCTTTCCAAGGATATGCAGTACCCAGGCATTCCTTATTTGCTGCTTTTTTTTTATCTGCAGTATTTTCTTTTAAATCTGCAGTCCGAAATGTTCTGAGTAGAGTCTTGTTTTCTTCTGAGAGCTTTCTCTTAAGTGCCTCAGCTCTTGGCCCTCCATTAGCTATGCCATCTACTCCATCTGGTGTTAATCTGGGTGAACTGCAATTTATATTGAAGGACAATATCGATCTATGAATTTTTTGGCTTTTAATTTGAGGTTGGTCAATACAGACAGAGAGTGACTTGTCTACATAATAGATTCTATTTGGACACTGCTGAGAAACTCTGAGGTGAATGCATGAAGTGAATGAAACTGGTGCTTTTTTCCTTCGATTACTTCCAGGAGGAAATATTCTATTCTCTTTGCTTTCAGAGTTAAAAATCCAGCCTTGATGCCCTTCACATGGTTGTGAATAAGTTTCAGGAACCTTTAATCTGGTGGCATTTTGGTTTGTACAAGATCCTTGATTATACAGAGGTCTGCAGTGCTGAGCTGAACCTGCATTGTTGGAAGCAGCAGTAGCAGCATTCATTAGCAGATTGCCTCCCCTGCATTTCAAACACAGTGAATCAGTAGCAGCTTCCTGCACTGTGCTGTTAGAAGGTGGAACAACTCGTCTAGCAGTAATTGTTATGGATGCAAATCCGTTTTCCTGGTTATGACATTGTTTTTCCTCTCTGGTGTGAGAGTCTGTTCTGTGTACACTGTCATCTAGAGATGCCTGAATTTCTAATCTGCTGGGATGTAATGTGAATGCTCTATTAATGTTGACTGAACCATGATTAGCCAAAGATTGCTTCGTATGATAAGTATTAGGCTGAGCGATCACAGACTGCAAAGGCAAAGCAGACCTATTTTCTTTTGATTTATTCTCATCAATCATCTCTGAAATGACTATGGATGAAATCATTTTTGTGTTTTGTGATGCCAGAGATTCCTGGAAATGAAAAAGATCCAAATTATTAAAACATTCTATTGCAACATATGCATGCAACTATTTCACCTTCAGGGTTTAAAATACCAGATAGGTTTGTTCATGAGGTCCCCCTCCCTTCCCCCCCCATTCCAGCTTTTGCCATTTCAAAGAAATGTTTGTAAAATTAACTGGGAATTGTCTGTAGACGTTCAGAGAAAAATCTGATCCATTTTGTGCAAAAAGTAAATATTTTCAAGGTATTAGTTTGAATGATTAATGGAGTCTCTCAGTTGGAGTAGCTGGTCCTATGTTTGTTTAACAACATATGTGTCAATGACAAT